GGGGGGGGTTACAGTGCGTGGATCCTGCGTGGATGCCCGAAGTCGGTGCTGGGGGGGCGGTTCCTCCTGGATCCTGCCCGGCCAAGATTTTTTTTTGCAACCGCCTTGTCTGCATTTCCCCTCCTCCCCTCCAAATGCCCCACTGGCTGAGTCCCGGGCTCAGCGTGTCCGTCCTTCCTGCGTGTTCGCAGCGCGCTGCTTCCGAGGGGCACGAGGGTCCCTGTCGCGCACCCCGGCGGGGTCTGCCCGGAGCAGCCGATGCGCCGCGCTTTCCAAATCGCACGCCCAGGGGCCGCCCTGCTCCGGTGTGGAGAGCAGCGGGGCGGGCTCTTCTCCGCAAACACCGAGGCTACGTCTACACGGCAGGCTTTTGGCCCAAGAATGGCCGTTCCTGCGCAAAACACTTGCGGAACGTCTACACGGCCCGCGTGTTCTTGCACAAGTACATTTACAGTAAGGCATCAGAACAGAGGGCTTCTTGCACACGAGTTGTTCCTCTCCCCGTGAGGAATAAGCCCTCTTGCACAAGAGCTCTTGCACAAGAAGGCAGTGTGGACGGAAACAGCTTTTCTTGTGCAAGAAACACCTAGGGCTAAAATGGCCATCCGAGCTTTCTTGAGCAAGAGAGCGTGCACGCTGCCATGGATGCTCTTGTGCAAAAACTTCTTGGGCAAAAAGCCTGCAGTGTAGACGTAGCCTGAGTCTGTGGCAAGCTGGGGAGGGAAGCCACCTCTCCCGAGCTGGTCATGGACTGTCTGTGTGGGCCCTGTCGATGTCCCGGCTTGGATCTTCTTTGAAACCATCTCTCAGGTCCCTGCCTTCCTCCTGTCTCTGTATCCATCATATGTTAGTGATTTGAAACCTTCTAAACTTGCAGACTGGCAGGAGTATTTCACGGCTAAGTCCCGCCATGTTACAAGAGAGGTGCCGATGTGACCTTTTTAGGAAAAAAAATCAGAAAAGGGCAATAAAAGTGTTTAGGGGTTCTGAACAGCTGCCCTATGAGGAGAGATCAATAAGATTGGGACTTTTTAGCTGGGCAAGGGAGATATGATAGAGGTCTGTAAAATCATGACAGGTTTGGGAAAAATAAATAAGGAAAAGTTATTTACTTGTTCCCATAACACAAGAACTAGGGGGTCACCAAATTAATAGGTAATAGGTTTAAACAAACAAAAGGAAGTATTTCTTCAGATGATGCACGGTCAACCTGTGGAACTCCTTGCCAGAGGATATTGTGAAGATGAGGATTTTAACAGCATTCAAAAAAGAATGAGATAAATTGATAGAGGATAGGTCCATCAATAAATGTTAGACAGGCTGGGTAGGGATGGTTTCCCTAGCCTCTGTCAGAAGCTGGAAATGGATGACAGGGGAGGGATCATTTGATGATTCCCTGTTCTGTGCATTCCTTTTAGGGCATCTGGCATTGGCCACTGTCGGCAGACAGCACCCTGGGCTAGATGGATCTTTGGTCTGACCCAGTCTGGCTGTTCTTATGTTCTCGGTGATGCCTTTTCCTTCTCATGGAGACCAGAGACCATCACGTTCTTTACTAACTACAGCCCTGCTGTTGGGGGAAGATATACATACACCTCTGAGCTAGGCTCTCAGGGGAGCTGTGTTCCCCTGGACTCCTCCTCCCCGTCCATCCACTTGTCCATCGTTGTTCTTTTGCTCTGACAGAACCCACGTCCCTCTCTGCGGGCTATTAATAATAACAACCCACCTTATCAGATGAAAGCGGCCGCTTTGTGCGTGCAGCTGGGATTTCAATGAGAAGCAGGAGGAAGTCTGGTCTTTCAGGTCTTATGTGTATAGGTTGTGGGCCAGATGAAAGCCGAGGCCTTGGCTGATTGTATTCAGTGGCTCTGGATGAGTCATGGAGGCAATTAACGGAGGCCAAATAACGGGATTGTGATGTCTTATCAGCAAGGAGCTTGTTATTTAAACTGGCGGCTGAAACCAGCCGTGGAACATGTAGCATGGCTGTGAACTGGCAACGTGTCTGCGAGGCCACGAAATCCTCCCCCTCAGAGAACCAGTGGAAGCTTCATCACTCCGGACCCTTAAAATCAGACGGGATGTCGCCCTAATGAATAGATTGTGAGAAACAAGCCTGCACTGGGGACAGGCGAGGCTGAACTAACAGGCCTTTTACACCCTTGAATTTGCTGAATCGGTGAAATGCCCCTGTGACAACGCGTCAGTGTTCCCCCGACTCCTGCACCCCGGTAATGGCACGAACAGATCCACCAGCCAGTAGAACAGAGGAAGTTTATTGCTTCTCCAGGATACAGCACAGATGTAATCTGGTTCCAGGCAGGCCTAGGATGTCTCAGCCCCCCTTGAGATGGGGGAGACTGGGCCCCTAAATCCCAGCCCCTTGCTTAGGCTGCTTCCTCCATGATACCAGACAGAAACTGCCCATCTTCCAGCCCTGCCCCCCAGCCAGGGGCTGCCCTCCGCCTTCCTCCCTTTGTTCCTCTCCCTGGGAGGTAACGGGTCGAACAGGCACCTCCCGTGGTACAGATTCACGTTAGGGATGTAAACAGTCGTTTAAAAACGTAACTGTGTAACCGAGATGATATATAAGATATGCCTTATACTGCAAAGCCCACAGCGATGCCTCCCTAGGAGCGTAGCCAACAGCCCGCCCTTCCTCACCCCCAGCCAGGCTCCCAGGGAGCCAGCGTGTAACCTGAGGGGGCCCAGCCCCACAGAGCACTCCCTGCCCATTGTGGGCCCCACGAGGCTGGAGCAGCCACCTGCCCAAGTCAGTCGGGGAGCAGCTCCAGCCCTTAACTGGAAGCAGTAAACCTGCCCCCTTAACCGGTTAACCCTTTACATCCCTTACTCATATGTAGGTCATCCTGGGGCCTTTGGCTGAAGTTATCGCGAGCTCCTGGAACTGTGAGCCCACGAACAGGGATTCCACTTTCCAGAAAAGCTGCATGTAGAGAAGTACACGCCCCCAGGGATGTGTCAGAGAGAGGGCCGGGACGCTGCGCCGTGTGGTGCCCTTGGGTAGCGTTAGGGACAAGTCTTCAGTGACTTTGTACCTGTGAGCAACCGTTTTACCTCCGTGCCCACTTGTTCACAGTCCCATCCTGGTTCCCAGCCACCCAAGGTATGTCTACACTACCCTCCTAATTCGAACTAGGAGGGTAATGTAGGCATACCGCACTTGCAAATGAAGCCTGGGATTTGAATTTCCCGGGCTTCATTTGCATGAAGCCGGCCAGCGCCATTTTTAAATGCCGGCAGTTCGAACCCCGTGCCGCGCGGCTACACGCGGCACGGAGTAGCTAGTTCGGATTAGGAGGGTAGGAGGAGAACTAGCTGTACTCCTCATTCCTCATTCCTAGTTCGAATTAGGAGGGTAGTGTAGACATACCCCTATAGACTTACAGCATTTTCCAGGGCACTATGGAGGACGTATGTCCCCAGTCCCTGACAGGCAACGCAGGGTTAAATTAGGAACCTTTTGCAGCCGGGCTTTTTCTAAGGAGCATCTGGAGTCCTCAGAGCCGGTGCTGTTGCTGCTTCCCCAGACACGCGTCCCCGCTCGATTCCCCCAAAGGCCAATGCAATTTCCGAAAGCACTTTCCCATCTCGTTCACTCTGTGAATGACACAGCGGGATCGTAACCCCCAGCAGGAAATGCAGCTCTGAACTGGCGCCCGGAAGCTCTTTAACAGCTCAGCACAACAGCCAGGGCGCAGAAGCCGTCAGCCCAAGAGCTGAAATAGAATCCTGAATTCCTCCGAAAGCTTTAGAGATGCAGAAAGTGCATGGAAACCAGGTCAGGACACCGGTCTTACAAGGCGCCCTTGTAGCCAAGCAGGCGAATGGCATATTGGGTGCATTAGGGGGAGCATGGCCAGCAGATCTAGGGAAAGGATTATTCCCCTTTATTCGGCACTGGTGGGGCCCCAGCTGGAGTATTGCATCCAGTTCTGGGCCCCCCATTATAGGCAGGATGTGGATGCATTGGAGAGAGTCCAGCTGAGGGCAACACAAGTGATGTGGAGGCTGGAGCACATGACTTATGAGGAGCGGTTGAGGGATTTGGGTTTGTTTAGACTGCAGAAGACAAGAGTGAAGGGGGATTTGAGAGCAGCCTTCAACTACCTGAAGGGGGGTTCCAAAGAGGCTGGAGAGAGGCTGTTCTCAGTGGGGGCAGATGGCAGAAGGAGGAGCAATTGGCTCACGTTGAAGTAGGAGAGGCCTAGGTTGGAGATTAGGAAAAACTGTTTCCCTAGGCGGGTGGGGAAGCGCTGGGCTGGGTTCCCTAGGGAGGGGGTGGAATCTCCATTCCTGGAGGTTTTGAAGTCCCGGCTTGACAAAGCCCTGGCTGGGTTGATTGAGTTGGGGTTGGTCCTGCTTTGAGCAGGGGGCTGGACTCGATGGCTCCTGAGGTCTCTGCCCCTAATGTAGCCCTTCTGAGCCTCCCGTACTGATCTCTGCAGCCCCCGGCTTTCTAAGGAAGTGTCTCCTCCAGGTACTGGCCAGCCCCCACCCTGAGCTTGTGAGAGGTGAAAGGGCCACCGCAGAGGTGGCTTTGGCCACAGGGCAAGTCTGTTTTTTCCACACACCCCCCCCCCCCCCCCCCCCCAAGCCGGCCGTGCTGGACAGAAGAGCTCCTGACGTGGACTCGTTCCTTTTCATTCCACGCTGAGTGCACATGTCGCTGCAGCTGGGAGGGGAGGACATGTCTGCAGGGGTGCAACCCCCCGGGGAGCTATCCCAGTCCTGTTTCCCCCCAACTCCCTTGTCTCCCCAAGGGGCAATGGTCAATTGCAAGAGTAGGATTCAAATCGGTAGTATGAGAAATAATAAAATCAGAGCACTGGAAGGGAGATGCATCTAGAAGTCATCTACTCCAGCTCCTGTATCATCTCGACTTTCCCCGATGGGTTTGTCTAACCTGCTTTTACGTAGTACATGAACTTTCTCTGCCTGGCTCGTACCTTCTCAGGCTATGTCTACACAGCTGTGTTATTTCGCAATAACAGATGTTATTCCAAAATAATATAGTCCGCAGTCATTTCTATGAGCGGTGAGGGAAGATTGAAAGAATTGGGCTTATTTAGTTTGGAAAAGAGAAAACTGAGAGAGGACATAGCAGCAGTTTTCAAGTATCTAAAAGGGTGTTACAAGGAGGAGGGAGAAAAATTGTTCTCCTTGGCCTCGGGTGAGTGGACAAGAAGCAATGGGCTTCAACTGCAGCAAGGAAGGTTTAGGTTGGACGTTAAAAAAACTTCCTAACTGTCAGGGTGGTGAAACACTGGAATAAATTGAAATACATATAATAGGGGGGTTGTGGAATCTCCATCACCAGAGATATTTAAGAGCAGGTTAGTTAGACATCTATCGGGGTGGTTTAGATGGTGCTTGGTCCTGCCATGAGGGCAGGGGACTGGACTTGATGACCTCTCGAGGTCCCTTCCAGTTCTAGCATTCTATGAGTCTATGATTTCGACATTATGTTGAAATAATGTTGAGCTGGAGGACTGCTTACTCAGACTCCTGCAACCCTCATTGTACGAGGAGTAAGGGAAGTCGGAGGAAGAGTTCTCGATTTCGAAATAAGTGCTGTGTAGACGCTCCCAAATTCAAAATCAGCTATTTTGACGTAAGCTACGCAATTAGCGTAGCTCAAATGATGTAGCTTATTTTGCGTTCAGCCCTGCTGTGTAGACACTCCCTCGAACGCTAGCAAATGATTTCCTCTCTGTCAAGATCTCAGCAGGTGGGTACTCAATGTGTTCAAAACCAGAATTAGCGTGGGCAAGATGGGTGTGCAGCCCGCTTGACAGGCCCCGTCAAGATATACGGATAAGAACAGCTGACTTAGAAGACCAACTTCTGAGCATTGTGGAATGTTACTGTCTCTGCCCATGTGTCTCCGGGCAGAAGACCCATCGCAGTATTTATTACACTGTAATGTGCATTGCACGTGAGGTCTAAATGGCTTTCCGCGTTTTTTCCCCCAACGCCTTTGTCAACGACCTTGCAGAGAACGGGATCTTTATTAGGAACTGACAATGCATCTACAATCCAAACAGCAGCCCTACTTGCATGGCCAGCCACCAAAATAAGAGGCCCGCAGGTGATTATATGGTTTAACTGCCTTATATTCCTTTTAAAGCATTATTATATGTATTTCAAGCATTTAAAATGTTGGCTTTCATGTTAAGGTTGATTACAATGTAGGGTCCCATTGGCTACGTCACTATTAATGCCGTTGACTTGACACGAAGGATAACATACTGCATAGGTGTGTATCTTTACTTGCCTGCCTGGACAATTCTCTCCACATGGTTGGCATAAGATACAAAAGAAAAATCCCGAAAGCCGCCCCCACACCAGGGAATCAAAGCATTATAAACTCAGCATGCACCGGTGGGGTGCAGCTGGACTACAAACACCCTCTGAAATTAGTAAGGGCTTTGACTTGCAGCCCCCATCTGCACCGGATGGAGCACTGCCGGCTTGGGAGAGTAATTGCCCAATGGTTGCCCCGTGGCTGAGTAACTGACGAGGAACCCATTGTGTGGGTACCATTGTCTCCCAGTCTTCTCGCGTTCGGTGAGTTTCCATAGCATCCAGTTGCAGAGAATGTGCCCGTGAGGTTAAAGTTAATATTTACCTGGGCACCCTATTGTAGATGTGTGAATAGATCTGCAGGGAGGAAGGTCACTCCCTCTGCCTCTTCCCTGGAGAAAGTAAACACGCGTCTCATTGGAAATCCTGGCAGAACAAGGAGGCAGGTGCTGACGTGAGCTGGGGAGGGAGTCATCAAATAAACATGCTGCTGTATGTCGTTTTGAGCTAGTCAGCTCCAGGTGGCCTAAGAAATTGAGTTGCACCATTTCCTGTTTGCATGGGTGGGGGAGCCCTGGGGCATATGGACGGAGTGAGACGGGCAGTCGGGAACGCCACACACAGACACTGAGATAGGAATAAGGCAACAATTTTGACATGGAAATTGGTAGGGAATTTCAGAGCAGAGATGTAAAGGAAAAACTAAGTCATGGAAAGGACGTAAACCCTTCTAGGCATACGCTGATCACTAAAGGCTGCATCTCTCTAATCTCTGGTCTGGCAAAGTCTGGGATCTGGCATCCGTGGGGGCAGAGTGGGGGCTGGTGGCAGGGAGGGGAGCCCCATGGCCGGGAGGGGGGCAGTGGCCCATGGGAGCAAAGCCCAGAAGATAGCATCAGAAGGGCTGGCATTGATCTCCCCTGGTCCAGCAAACTCCCTGGTTTGGGAGCGGTCAGGTCCTGAGGATGCCAGACCAGGGAGATCCAACCTGTAGCTGATGGGGGTTAGAAAGGAGTACATGACCATCACTGTCCCAGGCAGGATACAGGGCTCCAGGGACCCGTGATCTAAGCCGCCGTAGAAATTGCAGCGCTCTGCCATAGTTTGAGCCGAGGGTGGTGCCAAGGGAAATAAGAAGATTCCACCAGCGGCTTCCATTCCGTTTCCACCTGAATTTCTTTATCAATTCCCACCAGAAATTGAAGAAGATTGAGTAGAACAGGCACTCAGAGGAGTCGGCACTGACCTCATACGTGGCCTGCATGGCACATAAGCCGAAGGGAGACTGTGGTAGGCAGGATTTGCGGTTGCCACCTTAATACAAGCCAGGGACACATGACTGTAGCGGTAGCTTTATTGGCACATCGGCAGTGCTACGAAGAGATGGTTCCGTGGTGTTACAGAGCAAGTCCATGCTGGCGAGGGGGAGTTATAATAGGATCTGCGGAGAAGAAATCTCCCTGGAGATAGCGGTTTACCCTGCATGAGTGCTTTTCATCCAAAGAACACAAATACAGGCATTGATTGACACAGCCTCACAACACCCCTGTGAGGTAGGTTGATGCTATTCCCCATATCACCGGGGGGTGGATTGCACGGCACAACTGTTTTTCTGTAGAACAGTATGGGCTGACCCCGCCTGCCTATAGCCCCTTATTACAGAGGAGACATGATGAGGTTAGGTGAGGTGACCAAGTCCACACAGCCAATGAGAACAGCCAGGGTATAGCTGGCTCTCAGACTGCCTGACCACCCAACGCCGTGAGCATAGCAAATTAACAAAGCCAGGATTCCTTGCTCTGTCAGCTTTCAGAAGGGAGGTCTCCGGGTTCGCCTTGTATGACGAGACCTCCTTGATACCTTCGCAGCTACTCCTCCTCGCTCTCTGCCTCTTCGTCACTACCGTCTGTCAGGGGGAACTCCCGCCGAGGTTTCTGGGTGGCT